CCCCAAAACCCCAAAACCCCAAAACCCCAAAACCCCATTTATTTAATAATTTATAGAATAAATTAACGGAATGTCAACTCCTAACAAAGCAATGTTGCATTCAAATAGGTAAGTATTTAATATGAAGAACCAAAGTCTCATGACAAGCATGTCCAATTAATAATACATATATTAGCCTCTTTTCATAAAGCGCTTCTAATTTAACAACCTGTAGGGAAGTAAATAAAATTTGAAATTTGCTTGCTGATCTGGCAGATTTAGGCTATTATGAAAGTTTTATCATGCAGTTTATATTCTTTCTATCTAAAATTGTATATATTACAAGAATAAGATTTCTAAGTGCTATATATATCTTATATGGAAATGCCTTTTTTATATTTTATGAGATAAATCCCTTTAAAATATTTTATCCCTATTATTTTCTTTTAGTTATCCAATATTTAGTATTTTAGCCAAATTACAATTCTTCATTGTTAGACTATATCTTGCTAAAAATATTATAATATTGACATAACTCTTAAATTATCTAAAAATGTGACACTTCTCTTCTAAATTAATTAAAACTAACATCTTTTCCTCTCGATCTCTCTATCCTTACCACCTCCTTCATCCTTCGACAATCTAGAAAGTTAGCAAATCTCTAAAACCCTTCCTAAAAATTTACCTCTTTGCTTACCAAATTACAGAAGATCGCTTAAAATTTCAAAATTTCCTTCACTTAAAACTAAAACAACAACACAACAAATGCAGAAGATAAAAGGAACTATCAGTAAGTCTTTAATCATAATTCACATGTATTTTGGAAATATTGGGTTTTTGAAAGGAAATTATACTTGTTTAGACAACAAAGCTCCTAAGATCCCTCTACATCTGATAGAACAACGGAAGAAGGCTCAGATAAAACTTGAAAAGACTCAGCAGATCCAGAGAGAGAATAGGTAGTTGAAAAGAATAACTTTAGGATAATGATGCAATAAAAATGTTATTGATCGATATGAAAGTGGGCAGTGAACTACATCCGAAAAGAATAAAGAAAACCCTTCCTCCCAAGCCACCTGGAAAAACACTTAATCGAGCGAGACGATATGAGGTTTTGGTCAAGATAAATGAAGAGAACAGGCATATTATGAGCAGACTTCAGAATGCTAAAAGTGTGTATAACGTTAATAAGTGGGAGAAAGAAAGGAAAGAGCATAATAGAATGGTCAAACGTCTTTCTTCTACTAGCGGAAGAGTCTCTACCCATCCTCATTTTGCATCAAATGATAAATTTAAAGATTCTTGCAAAAGAAGAAGAAGACCGAAGTACTAACTTTTAGTCATATTTAGAAGCCAGAGTAAGGCAAAATTAGATTATGATCCGAGAGTAACCATTGCTAAAAGACCTAAAAGAAAGAAAAGGAGTAAATTTAAGGTGGTTTATAAATATAGTTATCAGGCTGAAACCAAAATATACTGTAAACGATAGTCTAAAGAACTCTTCCTTCCATAAGCGTGATGATATGGCTAATACTCACGAAGGCTCTCTTGATAATAGAAGTTATGACCGGAGTCCGATCAATTTGAACACAAAGTTTTCAGGAGAAACTATATAATTTCAATTTTAGATAATATATTTGGGGTTTTGGGGTTTTGGGGTTTTGGGGTTTTGGGG